TGCATCCCTTAGGTTTTGAGTTGTGTGTTCATTGTCATTTGTTTCTAGAAATTTTTTTATTTCCCTTTTGATTTCTTCAGTAACCTGCCGGTTATTTAGAAATGTATTATTTAAATTCCATGTGTTTGTGTTTCTTACAGTTTTTTTCCCTTGTAATTGATATCTAGTCTCATAGTATTGTGGTTGGAGAAGATGCTTCACACAATTTCAATTTTCTTAAGTTTACTGAGGTTTCATTTGTGACCCAAGATGTAGTCTATCCTGGTGAATGTTCCATGTGCACTTGAGAAGAAGATGTGTTCTGCATTTGAACGGAATGTCCTGAAGATATCAAGGAGATCCATTTAATCTAATGTATCATTAAGACTTGTGTTTCCTTATTTTGTGTTTTGATGATCTGCCCATTGGTGTGAGTGGGGTGTTAAAGTCTCCTACTATTATTATTTTTTTTTTTCCATTTATTTTTATTAGTTGGAGGCTAATTACTTTACATCATTACAGTAGTTTTTGTCATACATTGAAATGAATTAGCCATGGATTTATCCTCATCCATTCGTCTGCTGATGGGCATCTGGGTTGCTTCCATGTCCTGGCTATTATAAACAGTGCTGCGATGAACATTGGGGTGCACGTGAGGTGCTCCTATCATGGGTGCATAGATATCTACAATTGTTATGTCTTCCTCTTGGATTGATCCTCTGATCATTGTATAGTGTCCTTCCGTATTTCTTGTAACCTTCTTTATTTTAAGGACTATTTTGTCTGATATGAGGATTGCTACTCCAGCTTTCTTTTGCTTCCTATTTGCATGGAATATATTTTTCCATCCTCTCACTTTCAATCTGTATGTGTCTTGAGGTCTGAAGTGGGTTTATTGTAGACAACATATATATGGGTCTTATTTTTGTATCCATTCAGGAAGTCGGTGTCTTTTGGTTGGAGCATTTAATCCATTTACATTTAAGGTAATTATTGATATGTATGTTCCTATTGCCATTTTCTTAATTGTTTGGAGTTGATTTTGTAGATCTTTTTCCTTCTCTTGTATTTCTTGGATATATAAGTCCCTTTAACATTTGTTGCAAAGCTGGCTTGGTGGTACTGAATTCTCTTAACTTTTGCTTGTCTGAAAAGCTTTTAATTTCTCCATCAGTTTTGAATGAAATCCTTGCTGGGTACAGTAATCTTGGTTGCAGATTTTTCCCTTTCAGTACTTTAAATATATCCTGCCATTCCCTTCTGGCCTGCAGAGTTTCTGCTGAATGATCAGCTGTTAAACATATGGGGTCTCCCTTGTATGTTACTTTTTGCTTTTCCCTTGCCGCTTTTAACATTCTTTCTTTATGTTTAGTCTTTTTTAGTTTGACTAGTATGTGGCTTGGCATGTTTCTTCTTGGGTTTATCCAGTGTATGGGACTCTTTGTGCCTCTTGGACTTGATTGACTATTTCCTTTTCCATACTGGGGAAATTTCCAACTATAATCTCTTCAAAAAGTTTCTCATACCCTTTCTTTTCTTCTTCAGGAACCCTCATAATTCAAATGTTGGTGCATCTGATATTGTCCCAGAGGTCTCTGAGACTATCCTTAGTTCTTTTCATTCTTTATACTTTATTCTGCTCTTCAGAAGTTATTTCCACCATTTTATCTTCCAGCTCACTGACTGGTTCTTCTGCTTCAGATATTCTGCTATTGATTCCTTCCAGAGTGTTTTTAATTTCAGTAATTGTGTTGTTTGTCTCTGAATGTTTATTCTTTAATTCTTCTAGGGCTTTGTTAATTGATTCTTGCATTTTCTCCATTTTGTTTTCAAGGTTTCTGGTCATATTTACTATCTTTATTCTGAATTCTTTTTCAGGTAGTTTGCCTACTTCCTCTTCATTTATTTGGTCTTCTGCATCTCTAGTTTGTTCTTTCATTTGTGCAGTATTTCTCTGCCTTTTCATTTTTTTAAAAAACTTATTGTGCTTGAGGTCTCCTTTTCCCCAGCTTCAAGATTGAATTCTTTCTTCCTTTTGGTATCTGCCCTCCTAGGGATGGTCCAGTGGTTTGTGTAAGCTTAGTATAGGGTGAGATTTGTGCTGAGTTTTTGTTTGTTTCCTTGGTTTTCCTCTGATGGGCAGGGCTGAGTGAGGTGGTAATCCTGTCTGCTGCTGATTGGTTTGTATTTTTGTTTTGTTTGTTTGTTGTTTTGTTGCACAGGATGCTACTGGTCGTTGGGTGATGCTGGATCTTGTATTTGAGTGGTTTCCTATGTGTGAGTTCTCACTATTTGATACTCCCTAGGGTTAATTCTCTGGTAGTCTAGGATCTTGGAGTCAATGCTCCACTCCAAAGGTTCAGGTCTTAATCTCTGGTCAGGAACAAAGTTTCCACAAATGGTTTGTTATGGCATTAAGTGAGATTAAAACAAATACCCCAAAACAAGAAACCAAAGATGAACCCCAGACAAATGGCGGTTACAAAATCAGGCAAAGAATAATTTTAAAAAATTGAATATACACATATACATATATGTTTATATTATATACATTAATGCAAGGGGAAAAGAACAGTAGGAAAGGCAAACAAAGGAATAAATCTAGAAAAAATATAATAGGTTTTGAAAGATTAAAAATTAAAATTATAAAAAAGAGAAAAGAAAAAAAAGGAAAAAGAAAGAGAAAAAGAAAAAAAAAACTCCACAGAACTGCAAAAGCCCAACGGAGAGGCAGATGTATATAACAACAATAAAAAGTGTGACTGAATATACACATATACCTAATATACACCCATAAGCAAAATCAAAACAGTCCAACAAAAATAAAATACAATAGATTGAGCCAGTGAACAAGGGAAACCAAAAACTACATCTACCAGTTAAGAACAAAACTAAAGCACCTACTGGAAAACAAAACTAAAGTGAGGTGCCAACTGGGGAATAAAGCAATGAAAACAAAACTAACAAATATGTTGAGAGGAAAGGAAAGAAAGAATAGATATGCAAAGTTAAATAAGAGGTAGATAAAGAAGATTTATATATATTAAGGTTAACTGCAAGGGAAAAAGAACAGTAGGAAAAGCAAACAAAGGAATAAATATAGAAAAAATAATAATAGATTTTAAAAATTAAAAATTACAAAAAGAGAAAAGAAAAAAAAGGTAAATTCCACAGAACTGCAAAGCCCAACATAGAAGCAGATGTTTATAACAACAATAAAAATTGTGATTGAATACACAAATATACATATACATCCATAAACAAAATCAAAACAGTCCAACAAAAATTAAGTACAATAGGTTGACCTGCCGAACAAAGGAAACTAAAAAGTATATCTACTAGTTAAGAACAAAACTAACTAAAGCACAAACTGGAAAACAGAACTAAAGCAAGGTGCCAGTTGGGGAATAAAGCAATGAAAATAAACCTAACAAATATGTTGAGAGGAAAGGAAAGAAAGAATAGATACGCAAAGTTAAATAGAGGTAGATAAAGAAGATTTATATACATTAAAGATTAACTACAAGGGGAAAAGAATAGAAGGAAAAGCAAACAAAGGAATAAATGTATACAACATAATAATAGGTTTTAAAAATTACATAAAAAAAGAGAGAGAAAAAAAGGAAAACTCTGCAGAACTCCACAAAAGCCCAATGTAGAGGCAGAGGTTATAACATCAATAAAAAAAATGTTACTGAGGGAAAAAAAAAGTTTCAAAAGCTTAATTAGATTTCATAGTGCCAATAAAATCAACAACTATAACAGAGGGGGAAAAAGAAAAAACAAATCCAAAAGAATCCACAGGACAAGTCAAAATAAAAGAATAATAAATGTTTTTCTTGCGTCACTGCTCTCAGAGCCCTTTCCCTCGCCGGGAGTCACAGTCCACCTCGCCTCTCTAGGATGCCCCCCAACACTGTGCTGGTCTCTGGACCTGCTGTGGGGGCGGCTCAGAGTCTAATCTGCTCCTACGCTGTGTGTTCTTGCCTCCAATGTCCACAGCTGTCAGAACTAGTGCGTTTTCTTTTGTGGGAGCTCTCAGTGTCCTTTTATATATTCCGTATACACAGCATCTGCCTAGTGGATCGTGTGGATCTAATCTGCAGCTTGTACGGCTGGTGGGAGGGGTTTGGGTCTTCTCCCTTAGCCACACTGCCCCTGGGTTTCAATTGTGGTTTTCTTTCCATCTCTGCATGTGGCTAGCCCTCCGGGGTTTGCTCCTGAGGCTGCCCTGGAGGACTCGGGTCTGCCCCGGTGAGGGCCAGGTGTGGAGGTGGTGCAGCTGCTTGGGTCGCAGGGGCTCTGGCAGCACCAGGTCCTCAGGGGAGTTGGCGGCTAGGGCAGCAGGAAATCTAGTGTTCTAGAAGGGTATGGCAACCAGTATTGGCCAACACGCTCCAGTATTCTTGCCTGGAGAACCGCCGCCCTGGCAGAGAAGCCTGGCAGGCCACAGCCTACAGCGTCGGAAAGAGTTGGACATGAAGCACCCCTGTGTGCATAGATGCAAGATGTTTTTTTGCCTGTGGCAGCTCCGCCCCAGTGAGAGTTGAGCGTGAGTGTGGTGTCGCTGGTTGGCTTGTGGCGGTGCAAAGTGTGCAGAGACATAGACTGCCTCTGCCCCAGGAGTTGTGGCCCTTTCTGAGTCTTTTCTCGAGCCTCTTGCAGCTGGCGATCAGAGGCCTCTTTGACTTTCTCCGTAGCTCTGCCTTTCACGCATTTAGAGGGCTCCCTTGCCTGGGTTCTACTCTGTAGATCAGCCAGTCAGGCACTTAAAGGGCACCCTGGGTGGGGTCCAGCTCTGTATTCAGTGGTCAGGCCTTTGATGGGCCAGCTTCTCTATTGTTCAGCTGCAGATGCTGGCCTGTGGGGAGAGAGAGGCTATGGTGATGGCTCCACCCACTGCGCGTGACTCAGCAGCATCACCTTGCTTCCATGGCCACCTGGCTTTGCTTCACAGGCATTTCGCATCACAATCTCCTCCCTCACATCCCCTCTATCTGTCTCTCCACAGTCAACCCTCACCCTGGGATTGCTCCACAATCCCTAATTTCCAGCTCCTGGCTGCTGTGCCTTTCAGGGGACCTGCATCCCTGTCCAGGGTATGTATGGCTGTGACAAGGACTGTGTGATGCTCATTCTTTTAGGCTGACACAGATCAGCTGTTTCACTCCCAGCCTTAAATATTTCTCTTCTGACTCAGACAATTGCCCTCATGTGGGGACTGGACCCCTGGTTCAGTTCCCCCACCTGCCGAGGGCAGGTCCAGTCCTACTAACACTCCTGTTTTTCCCTCTAGTTCCTTGTCCTACCGAGTTTTGTGGGGGTCTGTATTTTATTTTCCACTGGTCAGATACTCCTGTCTGCTCTCCTGCCCTGGTGTTCTGCATGCACTTCTGAGTCTGAAGGTGTATTCCTGATGTATCCTTTGAGAGAGATGTACTCCACCTACTCCTCCATCTTTTTCCCCTTGCCGATATTCTATTTTGCCCACTCCAAGTCTTGTTTTTTCCATCTTTTTCCCCTTGCCAATATTCTATTTTGCCCACTCCAAGTCTTGTTTTTTGCTCTGTTGATGGTATCCTTTTATAAATAGGAGTTCATAATGTGAATGTAGTCATTTTATTAACTCTTCATTATGGCTAGTGCTTTTTACCTCTTTTCAAAGAAATTCTACCTTATCCTGATTTTTTCAATTCATTTCTCAGTTCAGTCTCTCAAGAGACTGAGTCTACCAGGGGCTTGAAAGCTGCTGATTCAGCCTGAATTCGACAGCGCTAAACCACACTTATAACAATACTTCCCATTAAATGGGAACTGCTTCAGTGGCAGAAATAATATTTTCTCCTTTTATTGGTATGATGGTATTGTCAGATGTTCTCATTGCTTATAGATCTGCAGATTTGCTGGCTTAAGGGAAAGCCCTTCATACAAAACTCATCAGTAAAAGATACATTCCTACTGATAGCTTAATCTTAGAGAAAATTCTACAGAAGCATTGGCTCTTTGCTAGACAAAGTGGTAAAAGACAGAAGAAATGACAGGGTCCTTAAAGTATCATTCAGTATGCTTGAGATTCAGGAAGTGAGATTTCATTTATGCTAATAAATTAAAAAAGAAATTGGTACCATCCCAGCTCTTAAGAGGTTAAAAAAAATTTTTTTTAAGATAGGGTAGCAAAATCTCTAGGATATGTTTAAAATCTCATATTCTGATTCAGCATTTTTCTACCTGTTCATTATCACCAAAGAAGTACAGTGGATTCAACCAAAGCTGGAAGCAAAGATATTTTGGGGTGGGGAGAAGAACAAGAGGATAAATCCAGAAAGTTCCAAAAAGCAAAACTTGAATTTGCCACACTCTGATAACTATTTACATAGCATTTACACTGTATGAGGCATTATAAGTAATCTATATCTACAGATAATTTAAAATATGAGAGGATGTGCATAGGCTATGTGCAAATACTATGCCATTTTGTATACGAGACTTGAGCATCCCATGAATTTTGGTATCCACAGGGGCCCTGGAACCAATTCCCTGAGGATACCCAGAGACAGTTACATAGTATTCTTTATTCTATTAAAGCTTTCTATTTTAATAAAGTCAGTCAAGACCTTTCTTTTAAAATACAAGCCTCCATTTACTGAAGTGAATGTTCCATGCTCCACTTGAAAATATACCATCCTTGTACCATGATTAATGTTTACCCCTGGGCTCAAAATGCTCATTCAGACTGCCAAGGCTTATAGGCACAAATCAGGAAAATACAGCCACAAATCATTCTCCCTAAATAAAAAGGTCAACTGGTATTAAATTAGTTCATTTACAGAACTCATTGAAATTAGCAGCATGTTCTTAAATTGCTTCTTGATTGAGGACATTTGCCTCATTAATTCTAAACAACCTGAGAAGACTATTAAAGTCTCATAGAAAAAAAAAATTGACCAAAGGACAAGATTCTCAATATGCTTTACCTTGGGGACAAATGGTAAATCTCAGGAAATATACACACAGAGGGAGAAATGCAAGGTGAGAGAGTTTAACTTTCACATTCTACATGGAAATCCTCTTTTATTTTCATTTATTTGCGCTTTCATTTTTCTAGCCAGAGGGAACTTCCTTTTTTAAAAATGGTCTAATTGACTTTATTTTTATTTATTCTTTTTCAAATTCTTTTCCCATTTATATTGTTACAGAATATTGAGCAGTGTACTCTGTGCCATACAGTAGACCCTTCTTTTTTATATATTTTAAATATAGTAGAGTGTATAAGCCAGTCCCAAACGTCCAATGTATCCCTGCCCCCTCCTTTCCCCTTCGGTAACCATAAATTTGTTTTTTATGTATGGGGGTCTGTTTCTATTTGCGGCAACATGGATGGACCTCGAGATTATCACACCAAGTGAAATAAGTCAGACAGAGAAAGACAAATATTACATGATATTGCTTATGTGAGCAACCTAGAAAATAAGGTACAAATGAACTTATCTACAAAACAGAACTTTCTAAAATACAAATCCAGTCATGTAATTCTCCAATCCAGTGGTTTCCCTTCGCCTGTATATATATTTTTTTTAATATTTACTTATTTATTTGGCTGTGCCAGGTTTTAGTTGCGACACACAGGATCTTTAGTTGCGACATGTGGGATCTAGTTCCCTGACCAGGAATCGAACCCAGGCCCCTGCATTGGGGGCATGGAGTGTTACACACTGGACTACCAGGGAAGTTCCCCACTTTGCCTTTAAAGTGAAAATGTAGCTCTGGCCTCCCCTCCACCTGCCAGTTACTCTCCTCCACACCTAACCCTTTCTGTTCCCCAAGTCTGCTATTCTCTGGATCCCCTTGGAGCATTTTTACAAGCTTTTCCTCTGCTTCCTTCAGTTCAGTTTAGTTCAGTTCAGTTGCTCAGTCATGCCCGACTTTTTCTACTCATCTTTGTTGTTGTTCGGTTGTCATGTCCTACTCATTGCGACCCCATGGACTGCAGAATGCCAGGCTTCCCTGCCCCTCACCACCTCCCGGAGTTTGCCCAAGCTCATGTTCACTGCACTGGTGATGCCATCCAACCATCTCATCCTCTGTTGCCCTCGTCTTCTGTCTTCAATCTTTCCCAGCATCAGGGTCTTTTCCAGTGAGCCAGCTGTTCACATCAGGTAGCCAAAGCACTGAAGCCTCAGCTTCTCTTCTTTCTTCAGCTATTTGTAAAGCCTCCCCAGACAAGCACTTAGCCTTGTTGCTTTGGGATGGTTTTGTTTGCATCTCCTGGACGGTGCTACGGACCTCTGTCCATAGTTCTTCAGGCCCTCTGCTTACTAGATCTAATGCCTTGAATCTATTTGTCACCTCTGCTGTATGTTCTTAGGAGATTTGATTTAAGGCTGGCCTAGTGGTTCCCCCCACTTTCTCTAGTTTAAGCCTGAATGTTGCTATGAGAAGCTGATGATCTGAGCCACAGTCAGCTCCAGGTCATCTTTAGGACTCCGCAGAAGTACCTGCTTTGACTAAGAAGCCATTCCTGAATTCAGCAAGCCTGCCATTGGTGCCCTTTGCTGCACGTTACCAGAATACCTATCACCCTAACATGATTGCTGGTTAATTCTTCTGGGTCATTTACTGTGGATTTTGTAAAGACAGAGACTGTGTCTTGTACACCATTTTATCCCTAGAAGAGCTGCCTGGGCCTTAGTGGAGGTTCAATAAATAGTTAAGTGAATGAACAAATGAGTGATTGGATTAGCTTGGCACTTCTTGAGCCCTTCCCCTGTACAAGCTGTGTTCTTGAGGAGGACTCCTGTATTATTCTCCTGAACAGTCCTCAATAACACTCAGCATTTTCCTGGAGAAGAGTCATGCCCTCGAGTTACTAGAGTGTAAGACACCAAAAGTTTCTAATGATGAGAGCTCTGAGGAGGGAGCAATTATTTTCACTTGGAGACACTGAAGTCTTCTGGTGTGGGAAAAGGTGGGTGATATGATACAGTTCATTTGAATATCAGCTGATGATATTATCCAATTGATTTGGATAAGAAAAGGAGGAGGCTGGGCATTCTGATTACAGAGAAGGAATGATAGAAACAAAGAGCCAAAGGAAGAATATTATTCAAACATTCATTCATTCATTCATAATATGCAGATATTATTCTTAATAATCAGTCATCAAAAAATTATTGAAGGTTCTTGCTTTTTTTTTTTTTTTAAATCCAATCTGCTACTGTGTCTTTTGATTAGAGCATTTAGTCCATTAACATTTAAGGTAATTATTGATAGCTATGTGAGGTTTTTTTGCCACTTAATTTTTTAAATTGAAGGATATTTGCTTTACAGAATTTTGTGGTTTTCTGTCATACATCAACAAGAATCAGCCATAGGCACACCCATGTCCCCTCCCTCCCAAAACTCCCCTCGTCTCCCTACCCATCCCACCCTCTAGATTGTCACAGAGGCCCTGTTTGAGTTCCCTGCATCACACAGCAAATTCCCACTGGCTATCTGTTTTTCATATGGTATTGTAAATTTCCATGTTACTCCCTCCATACATCTCACTCTCTCCCTCCTCCCCTCTCCCCATGTCCTTAAGTCTGTTTTCTACGTCTATTTCTCCACTGCTGCAATGAAAATAAATTCTTCAGTACCATCTTTCTAGATTCCATATATATATATGTGTCAGTATACAATGTTTATATTTCTCTTTCTGACTTTCTTCACTTTGTATAATAGGCTCTAGCTTCATCCACCTCATTAGAACTGACTCAAATGTGTTCCTTTTCATGGTTGAGTAGTATTCCATTGTATATGTGTACTATAGCTGCTTTATCCATTCATCTGTTGATGCACATCTGGGTCACTTCCATGATCTAGCTATTGTAAATAGTGCTGCAATGAATATTGGGGTACATGTGTCTTTTTCAGTTTTTATTTCCTCAGGGTGTATACCTAGGAGTGGGATTGCTGGGTCATTTGGTGGTTTTATTTCTAGTTTTTTAAGGAATCTCCATACTGCCTTCCATTGTGGCTGTATCAATTTACATTCCCACCCGCAATGCAAGAGGGTTTCCTTTTCTCCACATCCTATCCAGCATTCATTGTTTGTAGATTT